TATTTACCAGCATTACAAGAGAAGATGAAAATCAACAAATTACAGTTGAATAAAGAAACGGCTCATGTGCAGGGGTCAAAGGGAGAGGGCAGTCTACAGAGTGGGGAATCCAGTGGACACATCCATGGCTACTGCCCTCTGGCTGTGCCAGCCTCTAGCAGGAGCTGCTGTTAACTTAGGAGCTCAGGTAAGCGGGAGGTAAGCTGAGCTGACTCCTCATCTATGTCCCTCCTCACCCGGAGATCTGAGGCATCAGACTCTTTACCTGGAGTTACAGGCTCATTCCAGTATCACTCCATCTGCACAAGGCCATATTTAGGCTACACTAGATACAGCCCTCTTGAGGGGCTTTGCCTCTAAGGGTGGAATGTGGGATGTACCATCACGCAGCAGCCTGGCTGATCCAGACAAGTTGGTATGAAATATGGATGAAGCCAGCACGACCAGCACAGTGGGTAGAAAGGGTTCCTGGGTCTGTGGCCCAGGCCCTTCTCCCTCTGAAGAACAATAGGCAATGTTGATTCACTCCAGGGCCTAATTCACTGATGCTGCCCTTGTGCACAGAGCAGCAGCCGGTTGTGCGGCATCTGTAGCCAGGACTCTTTAAAGTCAGCCAAAACAGGATTTGAGCTGAGGCTCTAGGACCCATTGGCAGTGTGGTATCTTTTAATTATGATGCTAAACTGAGCGTCATGATTCTAATAGTCAAGTGAAACCTTCACGTCAGAGGCATGTTTCAGTCATGTCTCGTGTCCATTCATTTTAAGTTTCGATTCTTCTTTGTGGAATAGCCTGATGTCACAAGAGTCTTTGAAATGACACCGTGCGAGTAAAACATTAACAAAACCCTTTCTTCCATTTATGGAAATTGACGTTGGATTAACTTTCTAGCTCCGTCTGCCTGGAAACTTGGTAGGGTGAAGGGTCAGTAGTGTTCCTAAGCCATATGCACAGGTTGTCAATGACCTCTGACTGGGAACTGCCTCTGGGCTGGAGGACAGAATGAAGTAGACAGATTAGTTTGGGAACCATAGTTTTGGACTTCCCAGCATATGCTGATTTGGGGGTCTTATATGTCTCTTGTGGAGGCCCCAAACTTTGCCTAAGGGGAGCTATTGTTATAAGATCTGTTGGCTCCTATCAGAAATGAGGGATGTTTAAGCCAGAGTCACTTCCATGCCTCTACTGAACCTATTTGTGTAGCTCACATGTGAGCTCTCCTTGGAAGGCAGGGAACGAAGAGAGTGAATAGCTCCGAGCATGCTGTGTGATTACTGTCACCTCCTCCCTCTGCAGGACGGGGCCTGGTGCCGCCCTGAGGGCAGGCTGTGTCCCTTTGCTGATCCTTCTGTCTCTTTAAGTCAGTGTTTTTCTACCTTTTGTTTTTTTAATCTCAGGGCACATTTTAACTTATAGCTAAACTTCCATGACAGACTTAAATTATGTTGATCAAAAAAAAAAAAAAAAAGAATAAAAGGAACATACTTACTGTGTTTTGCATTTGTTCTAAAACTTTGATGATCTTTACAAATTTTCAGGGTACTCCTAAGATCCTCTCACGGTACACCAGTGTGCCACGGCAGGCCAGCTGCACGTCACTGACTAGAAGGTGTCTCAGTTCCTCTCTCTCTCTCTCTCTCTCTTTCTTCCTCTTTTCCCTCTGTCCCACCATAAGACTGAAGCCCCGGAGACTGTTTTCTAGGTAACCACCCTGTCATATGCACAATAGAAGGTGTAAGGTCTCAATTGCCCAGTGTGTGCGTTTCCTAAAGGTGTCACAATAAATTATCGGCAAATGCGTGGCTTAAAACAACCTGTGATTCTTCTCGCACAATTCTGGAGGGAGGGTGGAAGTCTGATCAAGGTTTCAGCAGGGTCAGTGCCTCCCAGAGGCTCTGCGGAAGCTTCTTCCACGCCAATCTCCCAGCTTTTACTGGTCCCCACGGGAGTGCTGAACCTGTGAGCTTCTGATTTCGAGATTATTCTTTTCTAAGTACCAAAGGAGACCAGACAAGCTTTTCCTTTCTCTGCTGCGTTCCTTTTAATAAAGGGATGGTTCTGTGAAGTTTAGATTCCATCGTGGGGCTGCCCTGTTGGATCTGAGGGCGACATGTGGCTGTGAGGCCACAGGTTCCCCACGTCTGTGAGACCCACCTCTCTAATTTCTGTTTCCATAAACACATGGCATTCTCCCTGTGTGTCGGGTGTCTCTGTGTCCACATTTGCCTCTTCTTATAAGAACACCAGTCAGTGGATTAGGGCCTACCCTGATCCAAAGTGGCCTCATCTTATCTTTATTATATCTGCAAAGACCCTATTTTCACATAAAATCACAATTACAGGGCCTGGTGGTTAGAGTTTGCACATACTAGGAGTGTGGGGATGGAGGCCACAATTTAACTGACCACATCAAGGAATGAGAATTTTTGGCGGAGGACCCTGCCTCCTGGCGTTTCCTTTTCCTCCTCTATTTTCTGGGCATCCTGGCCCGGGTTTGTCTTTCTATTACTGGGTTGTAGGAATTGTTTCTCTACCCTACATATTCTTGGCTAGATTTCTTTTGAAACGATTTTCTCCCAATTATGGCTTGCCCACCTGTTTTCTTCATTTTAAGAAAATAAATTAATCTTTAATTTGATAAAATCTAATTTATATTTTTAAAATTTTAATGGTGATTGATTTCTCTAACCTCTTTTAGAAACTTTTGCCTAACCCCAATAACAAAGGATATCTGTTCATTTTAAACCTATATATATATTTTTTAGCTCTTATAAAATAAAACCTTAAGAGGAGGGAAGGATACAGAGGGAGAGAGAAAGAGAGAGAACAACAGAATGCAAACAGAAAACACTAAACAGGGAAGAATCTCGTTTCTTATGATCCTTTCTATGTTTGCACAGCAGCAGAAGTTTCCTCGGCAACCCTTCAGCATAGAACCTGGGAATACAGTGACTGGACTGGCACACAGGGTGTTTACTGTTTGTACCAAGGAAGTGATGTGATTTTTTAATAAGCCACTGGGCCAAATTCCTCCAAATAATTTCTGTTCCTTTTAAAGTCTTCCACTCAAGAGACTAGATGCTGACAGCACTTAAGTCGCTTAACACATATCCAGGCTTGGTTGGATGTTCTCAAGTTGGCAAATGTTCGTCCCTTGGGTGTAAGATTGCTTTTGGACCTGGGGAAATGTCCCTAAAGAATTTGCAGAGCAGCTTTCGGGTATGGGACATTCTGACAGAAGACAACCATAAAAAGGAGAATTGATATTGGGTCCATCTTCAGCAAGATATTTTGAGACATCTGCCCATCTATACGGGACCTCCTGACAGTGAAGTAGGGAAAGACTACGTTCAGGAAAGCAGGGATGAAGAGATGGAGGACAGACCTTATAAGCCTCTGCAGCATAGAAGGCAGGTGGGCAGAAAAGAAGGTTAAGCATGCATTTGAACTTTTTAAAAAGATAAAGATAATGTCTTAACAACCGAAATAAAACAAGTTCAGCTTAATAAGCCAGGAAAGGAAATCCTTTGTTACTTCTTCAGTATTGTTTTGGGCCTGCTGAACAGCACAGTAGGACATAGTAACTGCCATATTTTGGGGTTACATGACTGTACATATGGAAAATCCAGAAAAATCTACAATTAGAATTAAGAAATAAACATATTTAGATTACTAAATATCATAAGTTCATACGTAAAAAAGCAGTTGTATTTCTCTATACGAAAGTAGAAATTATGAAAAATATATTATTAAAAGCCACTAATTCTACTAAAGCAAGCGCTATAAGACTTTGAAATTAGAAACAATAAAACCTGGCATGAGCAATTAAAGGAATCCTAGTTAAATGAAGAGATACACTATGAGCAGAGACTCAGTGCTAAGTTGTCAATTCTGCCAATCTCGTCAATGCAGATTTCACAATGGAAATCTCATCAGGTTTTTGTGGAAATTGAGAAGATAGTTCTCACATTTATATGGAAATCTTGAATCTTGAAGAAGAACAAGTGTAGAAGGTGTACAATGACAGATACTGGTTCCTACTACACATGTATAGTAATTTTTAGTGTGGGTATTTGGCATAAACATTAACAAATATACCAGTGGAATAGAATGCCTGGACACAGACCCATACAGATACAGTTACATAATATACTAAAATGCACCACTCTGATTCTACAGAACAAAAATGATTTTTCCCAGCAAGTAGTACTAGTTATCAAGTTGATAACTACCAGGAAGGGTAGCTTTAACCATAAATCTAATAGAAAAAAAGAACATAAGGAAATATCTTCATAACACAAAAACTCTAACTTTGAAAGAAAATATGAATAAGTGAGACTTTTTTAAAATTAAGAGCTTTCACTTGTTAAAAGCCAACTTTGAAGCAGATCAAAAACTGGAAAAATATTTGTGATACACATAAGCAAAAAGGACTTTTATCCAAAATGTAAAAATAGCTGATACACCAATAAGACAAATACTGGCTGCTGAAGTTAAACAAAAAGTCAAAAACATGAACAGGCAATTTATGAAAAAAAGATATCTAAGTAGCCAGTAACATATGGAAAAGTGTTCAACGCTGCTGCCCCTTAGGGGACACAAACGAAAACTATGGGGCTGTGACATGTACACACAGGAGAATAATTAAGACTAAGGGAATAAAAACTACAACTCCTTACAAGGACGTTGAGTACCTAAAACTAAACCACATCGCAGGTGGGAAGGAAGTTTATACGATCACTTGGGCAACCTGGTGGTATTTACTGAAGCAAAAATCACGCTTTCCTCATCACCTACCAGTTCTGCTGAATAGATAGTCAAGAGAACCATGTCCACCAAAAACAAGTACAGAAAGCTTCATGATTTCTTTTTTCTTAATGGTCCCAAACTGGAAGCCATCCAATAGACCATTAGTAACAATAGAATGGATAAACTGAGGAATACCAACATGATGGAACCTTCCGTGGAAATGAAAAGGAAAAAATTTTTACTACACATACTGACATGAATAATCTCACAGACTTTTACTTTATTACAAGTAAAAAAAAAATACATAAAACAGCATATACTGAATGATTCTATATGCAGTTCATAAACAGACAACACGAATATCTAGTAATCCAGGTCAGAATCCTATTAACCTAAGAGTTGTTATAAAGGTGCTTCTCAGGTGCTAGAAATGTCCTCTGTCTTGATCTAGAAGGGGAGTAGGTGGGTGTGTATGTGTTCCAGATTTCATTAATCTGTTCCTTTGAGATCTATGTCCCCCACATAGTTTAACATCTCATTAGAAAGGAAATACAGAGAAAGCTATAAAATATATTCCTCTTCTTAATGCCTTAGACCAGCTGGAAAGCTATGAAATGAGGCTGGGGTGGTATCATTAAAGGTACTTTTTACCCAAAGAAAAAGAAAGGCTGGACAGAGCACAGGTGTCTATAGCAAATGGAAAAATAAACAAATTACATTTTTATACCTTAGTGAGTTAACACTGCTCCATCAAGAGTATTACCGCTTAATTAAGTTAGACAGTTAATAGAGGTACAAGAAGTAGGGTCTGGCTTATAGTAAATTTAAAATGTACTATTAATACTACTATTTTTCTATTATTTTGTTGTTGTTGTTGTTATTGTTGTTAATAATTGGCTTTAGTGATTGAGACTAAACCAGAAACACTCACAGCACCATTCTCAGGTTCTTCCCATTTTTCAGTTTTACATCCCATCATTTAATCCCTTCGTTAACCCCACCATTTAAATCCCTTCCTTTTCCCTAACTGCCCGCAATGGAACGACTCAGTACTTGGTATGGGGAAACTGATAGAATTGTTCTTCCCAGGCACATTGTGGGACTGTGGCTGCAGGAGAGAGGCTTGTTCCTTCAGGCAGGGAACTCGCAGACTGCCAAAAAGGAGGAGCTACACTTAATATCATTCCACCGGCCGTTTTTCAGGAGCACTGTGCAGTGTTCTTCCGAGCCAGCATTATTTGGCTCCCCCTCATTCCAGTTAGTGTAGGTGAGTGTACTTCCCGTCAGATCTACAAACTGGCCTTCCGTCCTCTCATTTGTAATGCCCAGGAAGGCCTCTTCTTTGGCTAGATTATGGATGGCCGTGTTTTCTTCCGCATTTCTGGGAGTGGCCACAGAGGCCTGGAATTGGGCACACAGAGTCTTCACTCCATCAAAGGTTAGCTTGTCACCATTGGTCAAGAAGATCTTATTCCCAACTTTTCTGCCCAGAGAGAAGTCAGCCCTAAAACGTGGAAAAGCAGGGGACCTTGCATTATCTTTAAGCCCAACTCAAGGTATTTCTCAGGATAAAAGTTTCTAGAGTAGAGTTGCCAGATAAAATATATATGTCCAGTTAAATCTGAATTTCAGATAAACAATGCATTATTAATTTTTTAAAATATAATTAACTCGGCTCGGCACCTGTGGCTCAAGCGGCTAAGGCGCCAGCCACATACACCTAAGGTGGCGGGTTTGAATCCCCAGCCCGGGCCCGCCAAACAACGATGACGGCTGCAACCAAAAAAAAAAAATGGCGGCGCGTTGTGGCGGGCACCTGTAGTCCCAGCTACTTGGGAGGCTGAGGCAGGAGACTTGCTTGAGCCCAGGAGTTGGAGGTTGCTGTGAGGGTGATGTCATGGCACTCTACCCAGGGGGCTAGCTTGAGGCTCAGTCTCAAAAAAAAAAAAAAAAGATATATATATATATATATATAATTATCTCCCATACAATTTGGGGAACATATTTTTACTTAAGAAAATTACTTTCTACCTGAAATTCAAATCTAACTGGTGTCCTGTCTTTTCATTTATTAAATATGGCAACACCAATGTGAAAAGGCACAAATGCCTTTGTTCTTTTGGATCGGAACTCTAGAATATATGTAATTTGGAATTCTGAATTAGACTCCACTATTAACTTGAGACTACACATAAATGTCTGTGAATATTTGCTCCAGGCAAGAAGGAACAAGTTAGGTCTTACGGCAAGTATTAACACCAGCATAACAAAGGATTGTAGTTCCTGTTTTCAGTGAGCAAATATTACCAGGACCAGGTCACTGGAGTCAGACTTCAATTCATAAACCACCTCTGCAACTTATTAGCTCTGTGCATTTGAGTAAGTCATTTAAGTTCCCTTTGTCTCCATTTCTGCCCAAATGTTACGTGGCTTTCATGAGATCATAATACGAGAACACATTAATAAATACATGCTGCCTTCTGCCTTTCCTAAACGTCAAGCTGCCTGGAGAGTAAGAGAGAAAGCTTACACTTTTTGATACGATCCAGTTCTGATTTCAGAGCTTCTCTTTCTGAAGCATCCAGGTCACTATTACAATCTAGAAAATTAAAACAGTGTGAAGGAGCATTGAGAAAGGGTCCCGTATCTGTGCATATAAGGGGCTGGGTATCTCTTTCAAACTGATAAAAAAAAAATAGTTTCTCTTATACTGATATTTATACTTTGAAGGAAAATGAAAGCATTGAGAAGCAAAAAGAAGGAAAAATTCTCTATTTCCTCCCAGCCCCGAACATCGCTCTACCTGTTTCCTGTATCCAAAGACGCTTTATGAAACATACGCACTACATACCCCCATCTACACTCCCTGATTACCCAGCAGTCCATGGGCCAAGCTCATTATTCACTCTTTATCCAAATAAATTGGTCTATCAAGGCTAAAAGGAAATCTCTTGAAGTATTTTTCTAATATGAGCTGGTGAATATTGACTAAACAGATTGTAGGGCTTTACCTTAGGGAAGGTTTTCCTGAGTTTGTTCTATTAGTCAGGAAACCAAGATTTTGTTGAGTTGCCAGTTATCCTAATGGGAAGGGCATGTGTAGCACACAACCAAAAATGGCTTCAAGATGGTGCACCTTGTATTTCCAGGGAGGCTATTTCTCTACTTGTTGAATCTGGATTGGCTTTGTGACTTGTTTTGACCAATACAATGTAGCAGAAATGATAATGTATGCTTTCTGAGGCTTTAGGAGGCTTGAAGATTCTATTCTTCATTCTCTTGGGACTCTTGTTATCACTGCAAGGGAACAAACCCTGGCTGGCCTGTTGAATGATGAGAGACTAGTGGCTCAATTACCCTTATCACAATAGCCAAACAGGTGAGCAAGACAAGTGGTCATCCACTGATCACAGACACAGGTGTGAGTCCAGCTGAAACCAGCAGAGAAATCACTGAGTTGACCCATAGAACTGTGATTTAGATAAATGCCCAAGTTTTCAGAGTACTAAGTTTAGATATTATGAAGTAAAATGTAACTGACATACCATGGCTATAGGGTTTGGTAAAACCTGACATAATAAACTCACACTTAGATGGCCTTTTCCCCTCTCTGGCACCAGGGCCTCACCTTGGAAAGTTTCTACTGAAGGGGAACCCAGGCTCAGCTCCTCCGGGGGGAGCCTGATGAAGGTGTTGTCCTGAAAGGTTTGTCTATCTGTACTCAGGCATGGAGGGAAATTTCCTGAGGCTCCAACAATTGAGACAGGGCTGTGGGCACTGGGTCAGGAAGCAAATTTGAAGAGACACCTCCCAGCAGGGACTCAGGTCTTGTTACCCTGGCTGCCCTCAGCTCAGACCTTGCTGAGTGAGCTCCTTACCTGGACATGTCCCAGGGTCTCCTTTAAGACCTGGTACTCCTCGTAACCCAGGGGACCCTGCGAGTCCTGGAGGCCCCACCTTTCCAGGAGGGCCCTGCAAGCCTCTGATCCCTTGGCCTATTGGGTAACAAAGGAAACATGCTTTAGGATCTGTGTTCTGACTCTCTTTCTCCCCAGTTCAGTGCCCAATCCCACCCCAGGAGAGTAAGGAGACCTTGACCCAGGGCTATCCTTTCTGAGCCACAACTTCTTCTGCCCATAGAAGAAAAATTCCTCCTGTGCCCCTTGAGATGGCTTGGCCTGGGAGCCACTTTCCTAGAGAGACAAGACAACCACTTGCCACAAAGTGCTGTGCAGAGTCCTGGGGTGCCAGACAGTCAGAGCTGTTTCACGGTTTTGACTTCTAACAGATAGCTGAGAAAAATACAGTCTTCCTAAGTAGGGTATTATTCTCCTCCTATCTCCACTGAGTTTCCTCTGGAAGGTGAAGAATTGCAGAGACATAACCTGTACCTGGTTCTCCCTTTTCCCCCTTGGCGCCATCACGCCCGTCTTTGCCTGGGAAGCCGTTGATGCCTGGAGAACCACAGGCCAGCACAGGGCAGGTCTTTCGGACGTCCTCACAGGTTCCAGTTTCTGCAGAAGATGCTGCCACCACGCTCAGGAGAAGGAGAGGGAGCGATGGAAACAGCGACATGGTCCTCCTCACCTGGTCATGGAGAAAGTAAAGGGAAAGTAAAGGGAAAAGGGAAGATTATCTGAGCTTGTTCAGTTAATCAACACTTACTTACCAAACATGCCCTCTGTCCTATAACTTGGGCACAAGGCTATGTAGAAATAGATGACCCGGCTGGCCTCCAGACTGGGAATTCAGAAAAGCAAATATTCTTTGTGACATGGTGTGATCAGGAGTTTAACAAAGGTAGGCACAAAAGTATGCAGTGGGTGCCCTCAGGAGGAGGTCACCTGTGCCCTGGCCTCTCGTGCTGCTGCTGCATGGCTGTGAGCTGGCTTCCCGTGGCAGTGAGAACAACTGGGACTACACACGCCAGCTCACTCATGCTGTTGGCTGAGGGAATGGGAATCAGTGGAGACCCAGGGGTCAGAAGGATCTCTCCTTTTTTCTCACTCTCCTCTGGGCCCCTCGGCTATCTGAATCCCATCTTTTACCTGGGCAAGTGATTTCTCTCCAGGGATGGTTAAATTTCATTTACTCAGTGGAAGACCCTAAACTGTAGGTTGGTGATTCAAAGAAGAAAGTCCTGATATTAGATCAAGCCATTAACTAGACAGTATCACAGCCACCTAGAACTAACGTGAGTTTCCTGCCTCTCAGCACTTTATTTTCCACAGCAGGATAAGTTTGCCAGGGTGAGCATTTTCTCTTACAATTTCTCACTGCTTTGGCCCTGGCAAGGCACTAGATCCCTCTCTGCTTCCTGGCAGGAATTCCTATGTTCTGTGGGTCAAAACCACTGGCTACTAGACAACTGGTCTTGAATCCTCGCCCATTTCTCGATCTTTACATGTCACGTGTCCTTTAAAGCTTTCTTCTAGTCATTGCTGCCTAAGGAAATAGAGCTGTAGGCCTAATCCTCCAAGGCTCCTTTGGAAACAAATGCAGTCTCCTTTTCAAATGGTCAGGCAATTGAGGAAAGTCGCAGGTGCCCCAGTGCAGGCAGAAAAAAGGACAACTGTAGCACAACTTCTCTCTGTCACCTCCCTTCCTCCATCCCTAGAAAGCCTCTTCCACATTCATAGAGTCAAGTTAATTCCTTGGACTCTAAATCCAGGAACCCAGATTCATTTGATAAAAATCACTTGCTGGGGCTTCTGCAGAGCAGGAATTTGGTGGCAAGGAAGCTGGCTCTCTAGCCTGGGATGCTGGCAGATACCTTGGAGTAAAGGAGGAGGCTGAGCTCAGCCATGGAGGGTGGCCCAATCAAGTTTGTCAGGGGATATCCCAGGCCTGGCCTTCAACCCCAGATTAACAAGCAACACTTGGAGCTGCATGAAATTCTTATTAGTAGCCTCCAGCCTAGTGGTAGGCAGCTGTCTGCTCTAGTACAGCACAATCCCACCTTCAATTGCCATCCATTTAGCAGGTCTCATTACTGAGCTACTATAAGTTGGTTCACTTGGTTAGACATTTCAAAATCCCTATCTCCAACAGAAAATCATGCAGATACCTATGAATGTGCACACATGTTGATGCACACTACACACTCACACAGGTGCATGAGCACTCATAGTCCTCCAGGAAGGCACACACATGTTCATGCACGCTACACACTCACACAGGGGCATGAGCACTCAT